CGAGTCTATATAATTCCACTGAACACACGTGATCGTTGTCTATCTGACTTTGACCATGATCACATCCACAAAGATTTATTTCTTTCCTTATATTTTTGGGAAATATTTTTTATTATATGTTTTTCATCGATTAATACTCGCAATGAGTTTATTGAACTGATTAGTATGCTCTATATGAGCGATTTGTGTGCTCTATACTGTATAGAGCATAGTATAATAAGGCTTTGTTTTGGCTTGTTTATCTTTTGTTGAATGCTTATCAGTATGCTGTATATATAGAGCAAACTAATGAGTTATAATGACCCACTGTAATTGCTATAAAGGTCGCTACGAGACGGTTTATGGGAACTAGACCGCCGAAATGCTGAGTTCTGATTGTCTGAGTGGATGTGATCATGGTCTAAATATCTGATAAAACAATAAATGTTTTGAATAGCTTAAAATACGACCACGAAGATTCCGTCTCATTAGTATTCTTTATATAAGAATGCTAATTAGGATGAACTTTTATATAATGCCACATATGTTTTATCATGCACATATAGGGTCACTCCATGTGACATATTATGGCTGACATGATTTGCCACAGCTAGAGGTTTATGAATTATTAATGAGTATTTTAAGTATATATATTTCAAAAACTCAATAATTCATGAGGAAAGCAGAAAAGAATCATAATCGTTATCGTATCGATATATCTTTAAAAGGAACCGGTCAATATTTATGGCCCGGCGGGTACTGGGGAGAAACATTTTCTTCGCCAAATTTTTTAGTGACACAACCTTTTTTTCTCCACCCAACCCCAGCACTCAATCAAAAATCTTAGACCCATGCACCCTAATTTGTCAATTTACTTATTTAAAAGCTAAATTGACTTATTCGAATTTTATGGCAGGTTCAAATGGAATACTTTGCAAATCGATATATAAAGTAAATTATATTTATTCGATCTTGATAAAACAAATAATACAAGTATTTTAGTATTTTCCGACTTAAGAGGCTGTCTCCGTAAAAACCTCCAGGTCAATATGGGGTTAAAAATAGATTTCTCTCATACTCTAGTATTTTGAAGATCTATCCTTGGGAACAACTAAAATCGATTTCATTTTACTTAAATTTCCTTTAAATTATTTTTGGGGGCGATTGATGTTCGATCGGCTGGTAACCAACTTGAACTCCGAATTATGAAGGCAAAATATCGACATATTTTCAGCGCTATTTTTTAAATCAAATTCATACCTAAATTTCAAAATTTTTGCTCAGTAATATAGACTTATTCTTCTATTTTCGCTGGTGATATGACTTAGATAATTATTCTTTGGTATAAAATAGAAAACAGCGCAGTTATTGACCCTCCAGAACGGATAACGGATATCGTCTCAAAATATGTCAACTTCGAAAGCTTATTTCAAAATCGTGGCACTTGATTGGCACATGACTTTAACTTTTCTAGAAAAGGGCTGAAAACCACACTTATGTATGTTTTAATTTCGATTATATATATACAAATATAAGTTAAAAAAAACTTCAAATAACATCAAAATGATATTAATGAACGTTTTCAAGGTTTAGATGGGAAGCGACACAATTTTGTTTGAATACAAACAGTATAAGCCTGTTGGGATCAGCGCTAAATATAAATACCTGAACCAATAACATTCAGTGGGTAAAGTAGTCCTCAAATACAACAAATCTTAATGAGCTACTTCAACCTGGCCAGCCAGGTTAGCGCGGTGCATGTAATCGCAATTCAAAAGTCAACTCGCTTAGGCGGGACAACTCGGCAAAGCGGGACAACTCGGCCCATGTAATCAGCCCCTAATTGTTACTGAAAAAGGGAATATCATTGATTAAATAACTGAGACGTTCAAATGGGTAACAGCTGTTTGCGCTGAATTGTTTTGTATTATATCAAAATATTCGCATATTTTTATACAATAAGGAATAGTATAAATTCTTGAAGAATAGCCTTGAGCAAAGTGACCCAGTATGTCACAATCAGGACTCTTGGCATTGAGGCGCGCAGAAGACTCTGGACACACTGGCATTGAATGTCTCTATCCGTGAAGCCAAACTGTACTCAAACAATTTGATTCAAGCGCCAAACCAAAGAATAATGATGAAAGACATATATTTACATAATCAAGCTTCATTCAGTGTAGTGTAAGGTGGTTTTATTTGTTAATATCAACAATTAGGTTTACCGATAAAGTATGCTCGATTTCGACACATTTTCAAATTTTACAAAGTTTGCGCGCTTGTCATTTTTGTCCAATGGTAGATCAGAAAGATATTTTTGGCGATTTGTGTTGACTAATGCTAGTAGTTTATAGGAAAGTTAAAGTCATGTGCCAATCAAGTGCCACGATTTTGAAATAAGCTTTCGAAGTTGACATATTTTGAGACAATATCCGTTATCCGTTCTGAAGGGTCAATAACTGCGCTGTTTTCTATTTTATACCAAAGAATAATTATCTAAGTCATATCACCCGCGAAAATAGAAGGATAAGTATATATTTCTGAGCAAAAATTTTGAAATTTAGGTATGAATTTGATTTAAAAAATAGCGCTGAAAATATGTCGATATTTTGCCTTCATAATTCGGAGTTCAAGTTGGTTACCAGCCGATCGAACATCAATCGCCCCCCCAAATAATTTAAAGGAAATTTGAGTAAAATGAAATCGATTTTAGTTGTTCCCAAGGATAGATCTTCAAAATACTAGAGTATGAGAGAAATCTATTTTTGAGCCCCATATTGACCTGGAGGTTTTTACGGAGACAGCCTCTTAATGATTTAAGTGACTTTGATTTTCTCGCCTTACACAACGTATTTTTTGAAATTTACTTCGCCAATGAAGTTACTAGATCGATCGTTTTTTGAAGCAATTTAAAACATTCGCAGTGCGTGTTTTATCAGACCTAAAGATCCTGATAAAACACTGCTACTTATGTCAGTTTAAATAGTACATAACAAAATGTTCTATTATAAGCTCGGTATGGGGTCAGTTTGAGCAAAATTGATCCAAAATTGCTGGTAAACAGGGGAGGCTTTTCAAAATCTCAGCAAGTTTAATTTACTTCATCAAATGAAGGTATTTTATATTATCGAACATAACTGCATGATTTCGTAAATGTGTCGCCTGTAACAAGATAAAAGGCTCTAAAGTCGATATCTCGATAATAATAATAATAATAATAATACTTTATTTCAAATAACAATATGTGACCCTCCTTGGGAAAACGTACGTTAACGGTTTTGAAAAACGTTCTGAAAAATCGTTCGTTATCCGTTCGTTATCCGTTTAAACGCTTTAGCGTTCCGTTGAAACGATTCAGTTTTGAGATCGTTCAAACGTCTGGCTGAACCGTTCAAACGGTTGGAGAAAAACGTTTGAAAAATGTTGCTACTGAAATCGTTTCAACGTTTGGCTCAAAACGTTCAAATGCGTTCACGAAGCCGTTTAAATTCCTTACAGAATATATTCACATTGTTTAAGCTGGCTTTGTAGGTGTTTATCTGAAACCGCTTTGTCTTGTAGGATTTACAAAAAACACTATTACAGTATTAGTGTTACGGACAGCAGTTAATATAGGAGTTCGCCACCCTTCGCAATATTAAATATTCTTGCAATTTCATTAGAGTGGCGTCGAAAATGTCGCGGTGAAATATTGCAACAATAAATTGAGCAAAAGGTTCTCGAATGTTAAAAGATGGTTTAAAATATACATCCGCGAGCTTGCCGCTTCCGTCGTTGAATAGCGTCAGCTTAGCGTCAACTAATTTGCTTAAGTTACTACATTATTATTCTGGCCGAATAACTGAAAGTCGTTATGTTACGCATACAATTGTATCAAAACAAGCATAAAAGTATAAAACAGTTTCAATGTAGTCCACAGTAATAAATATTGATCTTAATTAATAATATACCTGGCTTGCCAGTTTTGAAAGCGGATTTTGCTGCGCTCCGAATGTAATAGTCTAGAACGATTGAAAGCGGCAGTAGATCGACCCCTAAATCAATTGAATTCTTGCAAAGTTTGAATAACTAAAGTCTGTTTTCCACTAGCGAAATTTGTCATGCGAATCTTTTATCTTATAAGCTCTAGACTGGAATTATAATTAGAATTTTAATAAATTATTTTCAATTTTAGCAATAAAAATTCGATTCATGCGATGAAATTCGAAAAACAGGCTTAAGTTAAGTACGACACGGCACAAAATTTGCTAAATCATGTCACATTATCCGCCAAAGATTCGACTTAATTTTTCGCATAATACATTAGCAACAACGAAATAACATAAAATTTCCAACCTATAGTGTACTACCTATGTAGCCGCATCATGGACGGCATTTCTAGAAAGTCCAGTAGTTTGCTATACATGAACAAACGAAAATTATAAAATCCATGGCGTTTTAATTAAGCCGAGTCAGATAGAGGAATAAAAATAGCTACGCACATGAATCTACGAATAGCAATAAATCGTTGCCCACCCTGTCCAGTGTCCAGTGGTCAATCGACAACTTTAAAAAGTGAATGGCCACCAAGCACCAGCTAGACTAGAACATAATCAGAAAACAATATATGCTGGCATGAACATGTCATTGAAATACCGGTAATTTGCTCTAAAATGGTTATTCCAGATTAAAATATTCACAATTCTATTTCTAATTGTAAGACCATACTCAGTTGCACACTAAACAAATCCATCGCAGTAAAACGCCACAGTAACTGTGTTTTATACGAATTCGTATACACGCCATAATAATAGAGACTCCTGCCCACTAACCTATACTGATAAGGCCAATGGTTCTGCCGCGAAACAAAATATTATGAAACACATTAATTAAAAAACAATTAACTAATTACAATTAACAATTAATGTTGGATTAAATGGCGGCAGGTCATATTACTCCTCGTGGCCTCCATCTTTAAATCTTAATTCCGCCCGTACAGTTGTTTTTTTAACGTGTTTTCTGTATGTAAATGTATTTCTAACATGAATGGGGATGTGGAGAATCAACCTTCAGAGAGTTTAATGGTCGAGAAGACCTCATTAGAAGAACAGATTGAAGTATCTGAAACAGGAAATGAGTATTTTTTCACGGTTTCAGACATTCAACGTTTCAGGCAATGGCTTACTGCCTTGAAAATACGTTATTGGATAGACTTTAGGAACCAAGACGACTATGATGTAGCATGGCGAAGAATGACAAACAAAAGAGGCGAATTAGTAGAGTTGAACATTAAACTCTACCAAGATATCCAAAAACAGGTCAGAGACGCAGGCAACGACTCAGACAGCGATAAAATAATAACATTTAATATCCATCTTTGGTTAAAAAAGTACAATGGATTTACAAGAAGTGCTAAGGTTAAAATTGATAAGAAGAAATGTTACTATTATTTACATCAATGTTGCTAAAAATGTTTATACTAGTTATATATTCTATAAAATTAATTTACGACTGTTTTAAAAGGGATATAGCTCTAGGTATAAAGGATTGCCGGTGTCTTTTAGTATACGATACAACATATGGTAGATTATTTGTTGTTCTTAGATCGTGTTCATGGGGAAAAGGTTGGGGGATAAGTTTATTACATGGGTTGGTCGGATCACTTAGAATTCTTTGGTATTCCTTAACAGTTAGGTGTGCCCTTCTTTGTTCTAGCGTTTCAAAGTTGCACCGAGATGTGCCGAG